ATCTATCTATCTATCTATCTATCTATCTATCTATCTATCTATCTATCTATCTATCTATCTATCTATCTATCTATCTATACTTACATCTATCTATCTATCTATCTATCTATCTATCTATACTTACATCTATCTATCTATCTATCTATCTATCTATCTATCTATCTATCTATCTATCTATCTATCTATCATCTATCTATCTATCTATCTATCTATCTATCTATCTATCTATCTATCTATCTATCTATCTATCTATCTATCTATCTATCTATCTATCTATCTATCCATCCATCCATCTATCTATCTATCTATCTATCCATCCATCCATCCATCCATCCATCCATCCATCTATCTATCTATCTATCTATCTATCTATCTATCTATCTATCTGTGTCCATCTTCATATCCGTCCAAAAAAGTAAACATTTCTCCTCTTAACAGAAGCACTGTGATAATTAAAGCCTCTTCAGTGTCTGACAGCTGAAGTGATCTGTCAGTGTCTGTCTGAGGGCTTCATTCATCACTTCTACAGAAATGTGTAAAAATATCCTGGGAAAACTGATCAGAGCCGAGAGTTTCTCCTTCAACACATTCTGATCATTCCCAGAGCTCCGCCCCCCTCCCGCTCGACCAACCAGACAGACCAGTTCCAGCTCCGTTTCCATGATGACCGGGGGACACGCCTACCTTCTGTCTGCAGTCATTATCCATCATTCACAGTGGTGAGTCTGACCTGCTATTCAGAGCACATCCAGGACCAGCTTTCCAAGGGGAGATATTTAAAATAATATTGTTGCTTAATATACATTACAGTCTACTGACAACAGCTCAGCAGCGCCCCCTTTCAATGCTGAAATGGGAAAATATCCAAAAATATCAACATACTTGGACATGCATCTGTGGAAAAACGTAAAAGTCAACTTTAATGTTATTATTGATTTACTATTCATGCATTTTAATTCAAATATTTGATATTTAATTAAATTTAGATCACATTTGTTTTTAATTGGATATCAAATATTTTAATTAAAATACATGAATGGCAAATATGTGGATGTTTTAATGAATATTAAATATTAAATATGAATATTTTACTTTAAATGGTTACCTTTAACAACCAACAACACGCCCGCAAAATTAACAACAATTATTGCAAAATAATTATATAATTATCAAATATTTCATGCAAAAAGTGTTTATGTACATATTTTGCACATTGTTTACACACACATTGTTTTCCAATTAAATTAGTTTATGTATTCCAATGTTTGGGTTTGTCCATATTTGACCCATTGTTGGGTCAAAACAATCCAGCAGTTTTTAGTGTCTACATATACTCATCGGCCACTTTATTAGGTACACCTGTCCAACTGCTCAATAAAGCAAATTTCTAATCAGCCAATCACATGGCAGCAGCTCAATGCATTTCGGCATGTAGACATGGTCAAGACGATCTGCTGCAGTTCAAAGTGAGCATCAGAATGGGGATTAAAGGGGATTTAAGAGACTCTGAACGTGGCATGGTTGTTGCTGCCAGACGGGCTGCTCTGAGTATTTCAGAAACTGCTGATCTACTGGGATTTTCACGCACAACCATCTCTAGGGTTAACAGAGAATGATCAGAAAAAAAGGAAATATCTAGTGAGCGGCAGTTTTGTGGGCGCAAATGTCTTGTTGATGAGGCCAGAGGCCAGAGGAGAATGGCCAGACTGGTTCCAGCTGATAGAAAGGCAACAGTAACTCCAATAAGCACTCGCTACAACCGAGCTCTGCAGAAGAGCATCTCTGAACACACAACACGTCCAACCTTGAGGCGGATGGGCTACAGCAGCAGAAGAGCACACCGGGTGCCGCTCCTGTCAGCTAAGAACAGGAAACTGAGGCTACAATTCACACAGGCTCACCAAAACTGGACAATAGAAGATTGGAGAAACGTTGCTGCTCTGATGAGTCTCCATTTCTGCTGACACATTCAGATGCTCAGCTCAGACAGCATGAAAGCATGGATCATCCTGCCTTGTATCAGCGGTTCAGGCTGGTGGTGGTGGTGTAATGGTGTGGGGGAGATTTTCTTTGGGTCCATTAGTAGCAATTGAGCATCAACGCCACAGCCTACCTGAGTATTGCTGCTGACCATGTCCATCCCTTTATGACTACAGTGTACTCATCTTCTGATGGCTACTTCCAGCAGGATAACACACCATGTCATAAAGCTCAATCATCTCAGACTGGCTTCTTGAACATGACGATGAGTTCACTGTACTCAAATGGCCTCCACAGTCACCAGAGCTCAATCCAATAGAGCAGCTTTGGGATGTGGTGGAACGGGAGATTGGCATCATGGATGTGCAGCCGACAAATCTGCAGCAACTGTGTGATGCTATCATGTCAATATGGAGGAAAATCTCTGAAGATTATTTCCAGTGTCTTGTTGAGTCTCTGACACCAAGGATTAAGGCAGATCTGGAGGCAATAGGGGTCCAACCTGGTACTTGTGAGGTGTACCTAATAAAGTGGCCGGTGGGTGTATATTCCCTGGCTAAATCTAAACATGCTTAAAGTGATATTTTGAAACTTTGAAAATACATTTTAGGTAGTTAATAAAATCAATATGAAGCAAAACAACATTTTAATTACAAATCTAGAGATCTGTTCCTACAAATGCTGGGTTAAAACACATTTCAGCTTTAAACAAGCCTCTGAATGATTTCCAACACTATTAACTAGTAACTGTATTTACCCAACAAACTGCTGGGTTAAATCAGCCAACTATGTTAAAGATCAGTTTAGGGATAATACCAGGTTATTACAAACTTCATCTAATAACTCTGTGAAACGGGACTGTCTATTCTAAAGACATGCTGGGACACTGTGAGCCAGTGTTGGGTCAAACAGGGACAAACCTACCTTCCTCTATTACTGTTACCACACTTTAGAGAAAAACTGTACTAATTTACAACAGTGTACAGAAGATAACTCATAAACACTGACATTTAGACTTATAATACAACGCAACCTACTGTACAGAACATCTTATCTGAATAATAATTACAGAAAATCAATGATAAAAATAATAAAATTTATCAATAATAATAATAACAATAATAATAATAATAACAATAAAAATAATAATAATATTAATAATAATAAAATTATAATATAAATAATAATAATATCAATAATAATATCAATAATAATAATAACAATATTCATATTAATAA